CAAGTTATATCTTTGATAATTCAGGTTAGGACTAAAAATTGTAACAGTGAATGGTTCAGGATAACTGGAATGGAAACCCAGGGAAAGAGGAGCTAAAAACACGAGTGTGACCTCTTCATACTGGAAGATGAAGGAGGCTATCCAGAGTCTCAGAGTAGAATTCTATTTTACTCATTCTCACAATCGCCTTGGCAGACTAACAATGCCTGCTTCCACTGTCCTCCTCATTCCCTTCATCTCTCTCAAGCAAGTCAAGGTAAGAAGCTTTGTTCCTCGGGTAGGGCTCATGTCTTTCTTGACTCTGTGAAGCTTCCTTTCCGAAATACAGAGTGCGTAAAATAGAGCCTACAGCAGAATCAAACTAATGCCACCAATCGATAGTCTCCCCTCCAGCACATTCTGCTCTGCTATCTTTTAAAGAAGGCCCCTATCTACTTCAAGTCAAATGTTGTGCTAGGTACTTTAATATATATTTTATTATGTCATTGTGACAAGGTTGGAATAGGTATTATTTTTATCCCCCATTTTACAGAGAAGGAAAGTGAGACACAGACACTTAAGTGACTGTACCCCCATACAAAAACATAGGGGGCAGAGCCGGGATAGCAACTGAGATCTTTGACTCCAAAGCTTATGATCTTTCAGTATACCAGGCTGCCTTTCAAGGAAAAAGAAACGAAAGTCTGTACACTGGATACTGAGTGTACTTTTCTTGTATTTCATTCATCTATCCACACAGTATTTAAGGTATACCGAAGGGGCTTCCCCACTACCAGAATGTCCAGAGTATTAATGCACTTTTATTTTTTTTAATGTTTATTTCCTTTTTGAGAGAGAGACAGAGACAGAGTGTGAGAGGGGGGAGTGGCAGAGAGAGAGAGGGAGACACAGAATCTGAGGCAGGCTCCAGGCTCTGAGCTGTCAGCACAGAGCCCGACGCGAGGCTCGAACCCATGAGCCGTGAGATCATGACCTGAGCCGAAATCGGATGCTCAACCGACTGAGCCACCAAGGCACCCCAGAATCTCCAGAGTCTTAAACAAAAGTCTAAGGGGAAAAGCTGTACTTCTAGCATTGGCTTTTCCAAACCTTGGTATCCACAAGCTCAGTATTCCCAACATATCATAAAATATAGTTTTTTAAATTCTACTACATGTTTTGCTGCTGCTCCTGGCACCTCTGTATTACAAGGGAACAGCTGATAATACAGCTGGCACCGTCATGTATGTTTTGGCAGCTGACCAGAAAAGGGTCAAGAGTGGCACATATGGTCTCTCCTTGTCAGCATTAACCAGTTTTTTTTTCAACCAGAAAAGTGCTAATATGGAGGCCTGTAATTGAAGAATATGGGCAGGAAATGTGGCTCATGGATGAGAGACACTTTGGTGTTTGGAAGAATTAGAAAGGGTGATTCGAAAAAGGAACTGGGAGGGCTTGACTCAAGCAAGATTCAGCAATCCCTTTATCCCTAAGCATTTACAGAACTACACTATCCTGTGCACTGTGGACAGGGGAGCTAGAGTCCCTGGGGAGACATATGGTGCAGGAGAGAAGGGTAATAAAGGAGGAGAATGTAATGGAGAGAGAAACAATAATAAAATATTGAGTAAAAATTAAGAGAAAAATAATGATCCTGTGGTAAACACGATTGATGGCCGTCAACTTGAAACAAAGGCAGCCACACACGAAATTGCCCATTTGTGAACTAGCCCCTTGGGGTGGTGATTAGTGCAGAAAACTGCCAGATGACTATATGCAAATCATGTCTGCAATCTTTTACTTTGGCATTTTACATTAATCAAAGTAGCAACTCATTCTATGAAGCCAATGTTACCTCCATACCCAAATCCAACAAACACATCACAGGAAAGAAATCCATAGACCAATATTCCTAATGAACATAGATGCAAAAATCCCCAATAAAATACTAACAAACAAACCCAACAACATATAAAATGGATTATATACACCATGACCAACTGTGATTTATCCCTGAAATGCGAGGTTGGCTTAACATATGAAAATCAATCAGTAAAAAAAGTGATCATGTCAGTAAGTGAAGAAAAAGTATTTGACAAAATCCATCACACTTTCATGATTAATCCACTTAACATACTAGGAATAGATAAAAGAGAACTTTCTCAACCTAATAAAAGCCTTATGAAAAAAACCAATAGTTAACATCAATATTTAGTGGTGGAAAACTGGACCCTTTACCCCTAAGGTGAGGGGTAAGCCAATAATGTTTGCTCTCACCAGTTCTATTCAACATTGTTGTGGAGGTTCTAGGCAAGACAATTAGATAATGAAAAGAAATAAAAGACACCCAGATTGGAAAAGAAGAAGTAAAACTATCTCTATTCTCAGATGACAGGATCGTATATGTAGAAAATCCTAAGAACTCTACCAAAAAAAATCATTAAAATTAATAAAAGAGTTCAGCAAGCTTGATGGATGCAAGGTCAATATAGAAAAACCATCTGTATTTCTATACACTTTAACAATGAACAATCCAAATATAAAATTAAGAAGGCAATTCTATGTATAATATTATCAAAAACAATAAAATACTTCAGAACATATTTAATAAAAGAAGTGAGACTTGTATATTGAAAACTACAAAATCTCACTGAAAAAAATTAAAGATGATCTAACTCAGTGGAACATCATCTTGTGTGTTCTTGGATTCGAAAACTTAACATTGTGGAAGTAGCAATACTCTCCGAACTGATGTACAGATTCAACACAATCTCTATCAAAATCCCAGCTGGCGGTTGTGCAGAAACTGACAAGCTGAATCTAAAATTTACATAGAAATGCAAGAGATCCAGAATAGCCCAAACAGTCTTCATGACCTTGGGTTTGGCAATATATTCTTAGATATGACACCAAAAGCACAAGAAACAAAAGAAAAATAGATAAATGTGGGTTTCATCAAAATTAAATAACTTTGTACTTCAAAGGACATCATCAGCAAAGTAAAATATAACGCACAGAATGGGAAACTTGCAAATCATATATCTGAAAAGGGTCTAGTGTCCAGAATACATAAAGAACTCTCACAACTCAACAACAATAACAAAAAAGGCAAATGACCCAGTCAAAAATAGGCAAATAATTTGAATAGACATTTCGCCAAGGAAGATATAGGAAGGATATGTCCAATCAGTAAATGAAAAGAAGCTCATCATCATCAGTTATCAGGGAAATGCAAATTCAAATCACATCGAGATACCACTTCACACCCCCCGGGATAGCTATGACTTTTAAAAATGGAAAACAGGGGCACCTGGTTGTCTCAGTTGGTGAATCGTTGGACTTTGTCTCAGGTCATGATCTTGCAGTTCATGAGTTTTAGCCCTGTGTCGATCTCTGTGCTGACAGCTCGGGATCTTGTGTCTCCCTCTCTCTCTCTGCCCCTCCCCTGCTCATGCTCTGTCTCTCTCTGTCTCTCTCTCAAAAATAAATAAACATTAAAAAATTAATGGAAAACAAGTAAACAAGTATTGGTGAAGATGCTGGGAAATTGGAACTCTTTCATACTGAAAAACAGAAGTACTGATACATGCTACAACATGGACGAACATGCTAAGTAAAAGAAGCTAGACGTAAAAACCACATATTATATGATTCCATTTATATGAAATTTCCAGAATAGGCAAATCTGTATTGAAAGTGGTTGCGGGGGGGGGGGGTGCTCGATGCAGGGAGGAATGGGGAGTGACTACTTATGGATAAGGGGTTTCTTTGGGGGGTTATGAAAATATTCTGGAATTAGTGGTGATGATTGCACAAATTTGTGAATGTACTTAAAACCACTAATCGTACACTTTAAAATGGCAGACTTTATGGCATGTGGGTTGTATATCAATAAAGCCATTATTTTAAAAAGTAGAATTATATATCCAACAACCAAATAGGAGAAACGTAGTAAATCTTTAACTGTCTCTATCCCAGCTAGCTGGAATAGTGGCTTGCTTCGTTTTTCTTCAGAACCCACCCCCAAATATGTACTCATTCCGTCGCCTATGGCAAAATTATTATATTTGCCAGTCAGCTCAGCCCTGAGCCAGTAACACTAGACATTCCAGGGCCCACATTTGTCACATCTTCTATATAGCCCTTCCCTCATGCTATGCTTGTATAGTGAACAACTCCTTTCTCCAAAAATGAATCAGAGGAGACTCAAAAAAACAGGCTGAGGCAACAGACAGAAAGGGAAGTATTGGAACATAAGCTGTAGGGAATAGGTGACCTCATTATTCCAAAATCCTCTCCTACAATTGAGAATACTCAAAGAACCCTAGACATTTCCCCTTCTACTCTCTTCCACGATAGTATATTGGGAAAATACTTTGACGTCTTTCAATTAGAGTCTAATCTAGTCCCAATTCACATTAGTGAACTTGTCATTCTCAGTGAGAATTGGCAGCCATAAAAGAGTCCAGAATTACTCTGCCACCCATCCTAATATTTGACAGCTCTTGCCATTAACGTACCACTAACAATGTAACAATGTGAGTAACAATTCCCAATATTTAATCTAGGCTCCTAATGCTTGATGTAAACCAGATTACCTCTTGTTATACCCTTCATAGAGAGTGAGAAGAGATAGTGTTGATTTATATTTGGAAATCAGTGCCTGGAAAGGAAAGAGTAATAGAAACTGGGATTTTTTTCAGAGAATGACAGATCATCAGTTTCTAAACATTTGAAATCCCCCTGTAGATAGGGCTTCCCCAAACTGGTCACAGGACTCTGGGTAAAAGCGCATAAAGGATGTAGAGAGACATAACCGAAAAAGAGAAATTTATGTCCCACCTTTGTGAGTTATCAAGGCCAAATGAATCTAGCCAAGCCACCACTCCCCACAAGCTAACATGATGACAGAGATTCAGGCAAGCACCATTAGCAAGAAGATTCCCCTCCAAGAAGTAAAGCACTTGGAAAACCAGGTTCCCAAAAGAACCATCACTGCCATCCTGCCCAGACCACCTTACCTAACTGAAATTGATTGGAGACATTCCCACATGTTTGCATTATCTCCGGGCTATTCCATCCTAAGGGGTATAATGCACAGCCTGAGCTTATCAGCAACCCTGGAAAGAAAAGCATACACATAGGTAGAAAAAAATGTAACAAGTCTTCTGTCACCCCAAATTTCTCTCTGGATTAGCTCAGCTCCAACTCTGCCTCTTGTTCCCAGAGTTTATCTTTCCCCTTTAACCTTAAATGTCTGTGACACTACCAACTCAACAGGATTTCTTGGCCATGTCATAAGTAGTGAGCTGCAGTAGATAGTAGAGGGAACAACTTCTAAAGAAAAGGCAGTATTAGGAATTAAGACAGGCCGGTGTACTTTTTACAGGCAAAATGTTTTTGACGATGACCCACAAAGCTAACTTGGCCTCTCCAGTCGGACTCTTCTTCTATCTAGGTCTGATTTTCAAAAGACAACAATGTAGAGAATGTTACTCTTTCCTAAAACTCAGCCTTTTCTAAGAGTCAAATGGGTCCTTAATGGTTAAAGGTAGGTCATGGTTTCTATCACTTAGACTCAGCTGCCAGACCGATATCTACAGAAAGCATACACATTGGGTAGGCTTCTCCTGGTGAGGAGGGCACCACACTCCTTCTTCCAGAAATACTGTCTCGTTCTGAGAAATCGTTCCAGCCTTATGCTAAGCATCTCTCCTTTATTTGGCTTCCGATACCTTCCGCTGTGCCCCCCATCTTCGCATCCATTTTGTTTAGGTTATTTGGTCACTACAGAGAAACTATGGGATCTTAGCAATAACCTTACTCTTCTGACCAGAGATACAAATCTGGGTCTGCTTGCTGATACTTCCTTCTAAGGAAACTACATGATCCTCAGCTCTTCCTTACTGCCAGGTTACATTTTATAACCTATGACCTCTTCCTCCCTCATGTCTTTGGTGACAGTGCGGTGGACTACACATGACAGCTAACACAAAAACAACCAAATTCATTGGCTGCTCAATGATGGGTGACCTCATATCCTGGCATGAAGACATCAGCTGGGCCTGATTCTTCCTTCTGGACATTTTAATCCAGAAACAGAGATGCTGAGGGAGTTAGCAGATGGGGCAAAGGTTAGGGAAGAAACACCAAGAGGTAGAACCAAGTGTGTATCAAGCTGAAGCCAAGTTCAATCCAGAGTTATGAATAGACATCAACTCTGGGTAGGCTGAGCAAACTGATTCCTAGAGAGAGAGAGAATACAGCGGCGTGAAGCAGACATGCCATGGCGAAGAACTCCACACTTCCCCTGAAAGAGCTAGAGAAAAATCCAGTCCTTCCCAATGGCTTTCCAGTTCCACTTTCCTTGTGTTATAATCAACTCCCTTTTTAGTGAGAGGGCTCAAGTGAGGCTCTTCTACTTGCGACCAAGAGAGCCTAATTACAAGAACACTATACCTGGGTGCCACACCAAAGGTTATGGGAAGGTCATGTGCCAGAAATATAAATGCAGAAACTAATAACAGAGAACCTCCACGGAGCAGGGCTTTGATCAATGATGAATGAATGGCATATTTATAGGTTCCAGAGCTCTAGGGCTCGGCTGGACAGTGAAAGGCAGGCTACTCCAGGGACTGCTGGCCTCCCCTGCACCTCCCTTTCCCCGCGGAGGAAGATTCCACGTACACGCTGAGAAGCTAATAAGTCCACTCTGCCTTAAGATGAATCCTTTCGGAAGAAGACCACAAAGTACTCTAAGCTTGTCTGCAACATGGCAGCCAGCTTTTCTTAATATTCAATGAGTCCAGAGAAAAAGATGAAGTAGCAAGAAGAGTTTAAATAGGAAAACTGAGATAACTTTCTAACAGTAAGAGAGGGTTTAGAAACTAAAAGAATGACCAATTAAGGTTAGAAATTCTTTTCAGTGGAATGCTTAAAATTAGAAGGCATTCTTATCTGTCTCGTAGTCTTAAAGGAAACGAAACTGGTCACTCAAAGGTCTTCCTAAGCTCTGGAATTTATCCAGTAGCAATGGAACAACACTCCTATTTGTTTAGGGATTCCTTCATCGTGTTCGTTTGTTTTTACCACAGATGAACTGAAATCCTGTGATATGAAGAGGTATCAGCCAGAATATGGAGCTCAGAGTGTGCACAATGGGTTAAAGACAAAATGGGAAACGAATCCTAAGCCTTTTCCTGCCCCTGGTACTTATCCTTTGAGAGAAGAGTTACTAAAAAGTGAGCTTTTCCACATCAACTAGGAAGAAAAGAACACACGTTTATGAAAGAACAGCAGTTCAGCTTTCTAACCTCCACCTTCAAAGCCCTGGGACTGGCATGAGCTCTGAGTGCTCAAGCAGGAACAAGTGCTGGCCGAGTGTCTGTCTTGCCATGGCTGAAGAGGGTGGAACTTCTTCAGCCCTCTCTTGCTCCTCAGACCTTTCCGTGGTGAGAAGCTTAGGTCAGGAACTATCTTCTCCAGGAAGCCTTTCTCACAATCCCCCAGGTGCCCCGCCCCCAGCCTAAGTTAACATTTTCCTCCCCTCTGTTCCCACAGCACCTTGTGCTTACTCCCGTGACTGAAATATCCTGTGATATATATCTTTTACAACTGATTGTGGTCTGCTTCCCTCACTAAAGTGTGTGTTCCTTCTGGAGGGTATGATGCTAAGTGAAATAAGTCAGTCAGAGAAAGACAGATATCATATGTTCGCGCTCATAGGTGGAATTTGAGAAACTTAACAGGAGACCATGAGGGAAGGGAAGGAAAGGAAAAATAGTTACAAACTGAGAGGGAGTCAGACCGTAAGAGACTCTTAAATACAGAAAACAAACTGGGGGTTGCTGGGGGTGCAGGGGAAGGCGAAAATGGGTGATGGGCATTGAGGAGGGCACTTGTTGGGATGAGCACTGGGTGTTGTATGTAAGTGATGAACCATGGGAATCTACTCCCAATGAATGTATTCTTAATAAAATGTTTTGAGAAAAAAAAAAAAGTGTGTGTTCCTTGAAGGGAGGGGCCTTATTATCTTCAACTATGTATGCTTGGTACCTGGTATATAATAAGTGCCCAATAAATGCATCTGTTTCAGAGTATGCTCTGGGTACCTAACAGACAGCTTACTTTGCCCACACTACCCAAGGGGGAAGCCTTCTGAAGGGATCTTCTTAGCATGGATGGGAGATCATCCTAGACACCTGGTACAGCCATAGAATCCTAGAGAGGGAAAGGCGTCTGGAGATTACCTACTCTAATCCGTCCCCATTACAGATGTGGATATTGAGACTCAGAGAGGGACAGTGATTTACCTATAGTCACATAGCCAGTTACTGGAAACACTTTTTCTCACTAATGAGAGAGATCATCAACCCTTAGAAGCTCTGTCCTTCTATCCAGAAATGACTGCCTTTTGACAACAATATCTCTAGCAAGCACTAGGAATCTTATAGGCATTAGATCCAGAGACATGGTATAACACAATGGCTTCAGAGAACAATACTGGATTATATATACTTGAAAGTTATTAAGAGAGTAGATCTTAGATGTTTTCACCACACACACACACACACACACACAAGGAATGAAATGAGGTGACAGATTGTTATCTAACCTTATTGTGGTAATCATTTCACAATATGTATGTGTATGAAATCACATTTTACACCTCACACTTACAGTGTCCTATGTCCATTATATTTTAAGAAGCTGGAAAAAAAAGAGAGAGAGAGAATGGATTCTATAGTCTAGATCTACGTTCAAATTTCAGCTCTGCCACCTAGAGGCTGTGTGACTTTCGGCAAGTTACTTAATCTCTCTGTGCAGTTATCTCATCTTTAAAATGAGAATAGTACTCTATCCTATAGGGCTGCTTCGAAAAGTAATACTCATAAAGTATCTAGCATATAGAAAGTGCTCAATGAAAAATATTATTATTAAACAGCAGCCTCCCCCTATGACTCCTCTCTCAACTTCTCACATATAATATTCTCTGTGCTAATTTCTTTCTCACCTCTTTGTCCTCATAAGAAAAACCAGTTGAAAAGTCAAAAACTGAATAGGGCTCGATTCAAAAGCTGCCTGGTTGGAGTTGTTATCTTGCAATTTTTTGCAGGCACCAAGCCAGAGACTAGAAATCTCGGCCAGGCATGTGTTCTGCCCCAGTGCATGTGGCCCCATACTCTGCCCAACCAGCCTTTCTACTCTTCCTATCCTCTGTCCTCCCTCCTGCCTTTTAAATGATGAACACAGCATATCCAGCATATTCCTGGGCTGCTCTGATGGCAGAAAAAACTAGTTTAATGTTTAATTATTTTTGAGAGAGAGAGAGAGAGAGAGAGAGAGTGGGGTAGAGTCAGAGAGGGAGGGAGACCCAGAATCCAGAGCAGGCTCCAGGCTCTGAGCTGTCAACACAGAGCCCAACACGGGGCTCGAACTCACAGACCGTGAGATCATAACCTGGGCTGAAGTCAGATGCTTAACCGACTGAGCCACCCAGGCGCCCCAGAAAAAACTAGTTTAAATCCCAACTCCAGCCCTGTGTGAGATCTAGCCCCGGCTCCCACTTCTGTACGTGTTATTGCTAACTCCTGGTTTTGTCTAACCAAATACGTCCCTTGGAAAAGTCTGCCCCAACTGCTTCTGTTCAGCTGGGTACTTTCTTATTCTCACCTGTCTCTAGAAAAGATCTTACACTTTTTCCTGCCAAGAAGGAAGTTCCTTATATTTCCTTCTCAACTATTTCTTCTTTGTTTAGCTCTCACTGAAAATAGAGAACAATTCACAAGCATCTTGCATATGTGCACACAGGGGAATGTGAGAGTATGTTCTCGGCCTTACTTCCCTACTATACAGTGACCAGTGGGCTGCCATCTTGTTTCCCTTCTTTGACTGTTCTTTCCACAAGAATCCCCTATCCCAAAATATACCAAATATCCTCCCCTAACTTTGTTGCTATAGTCTGAATTCCCTTCTCTGACCAAGCAGAGGCCTGGAGTTGAACACTTTATTCAGCCCTTGTGGCAGGCAACCTCAACACCAGTACAAACCCTCAGACTCACTCACCTTCTCGGACAGAACGTGGAACCCTTCTTGCAGCTACATCCCAGCTAAACTCAAC